TGAAGAAAACGAACAAAAAACACTACACAAATATGCAATAAATCAAGTATCACAATGCGAAACAGAACCACAAGCCATAGAAACAACAAATGTAATAGCGACAATTTATTCAAAAGCCCGAGCAACAACAGTTATAGGATATAAATTCACAGCAACATTTTCCGAAAAGAAAGTACATTGTTCACAAGTCTCAAATGGAAATAAAAACCGACTTGACCACGAATCATTCTACCAGAGTAATATCGAACGACTTTTACATCTCAATCCCGAAGATTGTAAAAACGAGTTACTAAGACTCAATATCACAAGAAATAAAAACACAGATAGAAAATTAGTATATTTCCAAGTTTTTGCAGATTCTGTACATCAAGCAGAACTTGAAAGATATCAAGGACATATAAAATTAGATGAAAAATACCCATACAACGGCGCACATGGAAGATTAACTTATGATATACACGATAAACACTGGATACCACACATTGGTATAAATGACCCATCAAACTGCAAAGCAGACACAAAAAATAAAGGATATCAAGAAATCATGTTTTTCGATTGGAAAATACAACTCGAAAAAATACAACTCACACGCGATTTATCTGACAACACCATGATCTATCAAGGAATTAGATTACCTTGTAAAAACGATCAAGGCTATTGTGACCCTACAACACGAACACAAGCAACAATTGTTTGGTTCCCCGAAGACACATGTACAACATTTCAAGTAGCAAAAATACACGCTCGTATGATAAAATTTCACGAAAAATATTTTATACAATCAATTCCATATGAACAAGTCCATCCATCACGAAGACAAAGTTCTAATTTTAGAAACATAGACAATATAGAAAATAAATTGACACGTTTTCAAATATATCAAGAAACAGAACTTGCATGTAAATACAGAAATCCACTTCACAAAACACAATACTCCGAGATATTAGTTGAATACGAAAAAAGATTCGACATGACCACTGGAAAAGTAAAAATCGACCCATACGCCACAAGTCACCCTATAAACGAAGGAACATCATATATACCAGTTGATTTTCAAAAAAGTAAAAGTCAACCTGGTGGACATCTAAAGCCCCATGACACTAGAAGCACACGTTTACAAGAACTATCACTAATGAATAGTACATATTTCGGTAACATCCACTATGATATTCACCTAGATATGAAATTAGACTACACAATTAGCCAAATTTTTCAAGAAATGTCACTCTCTGAATTAGAAACACTTCACCAATTATGCGATTTATAAAGGACACAAATCCTACAATCACTTGCACTAGCAGTATTAAAAATACCCTACGCAGGATATTTACTATCAGGAAATAGATCAAATTTTTTAGACTATGAAGGAAACATTTTATGGTTTTATACCTGTACCAAAAAAATATCACCACTATATGTTTTTGAAGATAAGCGATGCTATAAAAGAATCCCTATCTTTTATAAGAATAAAGTACATTTCGTTGACACGCTTTCAAGACGAACCTATTTTTGGGATACCGCAGTCCCATGTGGATCAGAAAATAGCCACAATGTAGTTCAACTGAACCCTGATGAAGATAAATATTATCTTCTTACCCCATATCCCACATTAATGCAATCACTCAAAAAATTTTCACCTGAAAGCATCAGAGCTATTGCTCGAAACCCAAATATTGACCTAAAATCAATTGGAATATATTCAAAATCCGATATCCAACATCACATTAGAACACAACAACTCCAAGAATTATTAACACAAATGGACACTATACAAAGACAATCAATTGACCAAAACTTACGCAAACTTGCCGAAACCGCAGGATTTGCAGATATTTATACACAAGACTATAGCGGATATTTTAAGGACATTAAAGACTATATATATCTAAACGGTGAAAAATATAGACCACAAGATATTTCACCTATAAATATTTTTTAGCTTTGTTACACTAAAAAATGAAATTCTGATTTTCTAGGATGGCCCTACTACATTTTAGAAAAATTGACTATTTTATACGCAATGTTTAACTTTATTGGATTTCTTTTTTCACTCTTAAAAGGAATCTATAATACATGCACTATACACACACAAGTAAATAGACAAGCAAGTGTAGCACGCATACTATTTGCAGAATTTTTTGGAATTTTTTCTTCATCAATAAACAAAATTCTTTTAGACGCACAAATAAAAGAATACAACACAAAAATAGCAACAAGACAGAACACATATGACGAAGAACACAACTATGTAGAAATAACGCCTACAGCACCACAGTTACCACCCCTACCACATAACCATCCATTATCCCTAGTCCCACGAAATTTTCGAAATTTAGCAATAACACATAATCCAAATTTTAGACCAACCATATCACAAAGTCCCATACAACATATAATGACACATCATTCACAAGATGAAAATACATATGAACAAATTATCGAACAACCCCATACCACCGCTTTTCAGTCTCAAAATAATAATTTTTTTAGCCCACGATGAGCCGACAACTTGGATCCCTACACCGCTCAAATTCCCATCCAACCAACCTCAACACTCCAATTACAATAATTCCACTTTTTGCTTTCCCGCCACCCGATTTCCCAACCAATAATGTAACATCAGGCATGAATTCAGACACTAATTCACATATCTCAGTTTTATACTCCATCTCACAACTCAATAACCCAGATATTGAAACCCCTGATGAATTTGCAGACTCTGAACCATCTCCATCCAATAATTTTCAAACCAACTCCTCAGTTTTTTCAAAACCCCCTTTTCAACCAATCCCGCCAAATAACACACTCCCATCGATTTCTACACCCTCTTATGCTTCACAAGTCACCCCAACCTACTCTTCATTTCATTCAGACCGATCATCCAATTCTCCAGATACTCCCCAAATCTCCCAGGAACTAGATAATTTTATCACCCTACAACAACAACCCTTCCACCTTGAAAGTTCCACTATAAACCAGATTTCATCCACAATAGAATCATTAAACCCACCTACCCCTACACCCTCTTCAGCTTATACCGCATCATTAGCACCATCCTCCACATCCATCGAATCATCAAATAGCACTAATAGAGCTTATCGCACTTTCAAAAGAAAATTCCCGAACCATCCATTTCCAACAAAACCAGGAACAGCCCGTGAATATATTAATCATCCAAATCACACTAACACGAAAGATTTTTTAGCCATCACCCTACCCTCATTTCCACAGTATACCTTGAACACCCCTAACGACACTAACGACACACGTAATTTTGTAGATGAACAAGTTTTAATGCCTACACTTCATTGGACATCATATTATCATTTTACTAACCCCCTTTGCCTACCTTTATCTAATACTCACATCGATATAGAAAGAAATAAAGATATGCTATATCAACTCACCACACCACTAACACATAGACAATTTACTTATATAGGATATAAAAAGTCACTCAAAACATACACTGCACCCCGAGCTAATGAATACACGCTAGAATATTACGATCACAACATTATCCGAACTAACCAAGACCAATTTTTAGATGATGACCGTTTCGCTAACCCACAAATCACAGAAAAATTTTTCATCAAAACACCATATGTATTTACACTCAATATATTTGACCGCAAATTCGATCACACCATTTCTGAAGCACTAACCGACACACAATCTTACGAAAGTTTTAAAGAAAAATTTCAATTATTTTCACTAACCTTTCATTTCCTTGCACCACATGAAAGAGATTTGCACTGCTCACACGATATTATGTTACGCACTAAACAAACCCACACATATACATATTATCGCTTCATACAAAATCACTTTGATCTACACACTCCATCAAGACAACCACACCGCCGTTTTCAATTTATTAACTCTAAGTACACTTCACCATTTTTTCTTAACTTCACATATTGCATCAAAGATACTAACCTTCACGGTATTCTTCGCAATTATGATCCCATAACCCAAATGTATATTTTTTGTCCCATCACAAAGACCTTCAACGCAGAAGAATCCAGACCCTTCCTTATCCCACATGAATTTATTCAACCTATAGAAATCCCAATATTAGAATTCATCCACAACACTAAATACAATCACAAATTATATAATCTCATCCAAAACACACCTTATGATTTTGCAGTTGGCACTGAAGAACTAAAAACCATTAAAGCACTTCAATTGCTTTGGCCACTGCTTCAAACTAAAAACATCATTCGCATACTAGCAAAATTACTAGCAAATTCCAACATAAAACACGACATCTTCCCCCACGGTTTTTTCCCTGACGACTAACAGGTAAGTATAATTTATCATATTCTTAACTAATAAATTCAAATTAAAAAAACTAACCATTCTTTATCCATGTCTCATTTTGATTTTTAGTCTTCATCTCACGATCATCTGCAAAATACACAAAAGAAAAATAAAAAATAGAAAACTTTTTCAAATTGTTCAAAACTCTAATAATCTTTTGCACCAGCCAAATTAAATAAAGTTCATACAAATGTAGTAAATTAATTTATAAATTATTTCCCTAAAAGCAGTAATTCTAATAATGATGAAAGTTTGTAACTTAATTTTTCCCCAAAACTACCAGTAAAATTGAAATTCTATGTAGTAAATTGATAAGACGAAAATGCAGTACTAACCTTTTGATATTTCCATTCACTCGCACAAGAATTCTATCCATACTCGCACAGCTCGCCCACGAAGAATTGTTTAAATAATGAATTTCAGTTTCAAGCTTTCACACTCAACA